GATGAGCAGGAATGAGCACACATGACGTCAGTGGTGTTCAGGATGAGCAGGAATGAGCACACATGACGTCAGAGGTGTTCAGGATGAGCAGGAATGAGCACACAGACACGGCACGGGAGCATTTGCAGTGTCCATCTGAGACAGGGGATGCTTGTGATCCACAGACCCCAACCACAGGTTAACAATGGGAACCCACAAAGCCCACGTTCATTCTCGAGGATGGAGAAAAGTGAGGATGGACAGACAGTGCCTTCACTGCCAGAGGGATGGACAGGGGCTGACAGTGCTCAGGAGAGAGCTGTTATAACACACAACATGCAAGCAGTGCCTGCTGTGTTTGGGGACGATGGGCTGTGACTGCACCTCTCCACCAAAAACTCAATCAGCTGCCAACTAAAAGTCCTACTTAATGCTGAAAGAGGGGAAATTTAGGTTAGAATTCTTCCCTATGAGGGTGGGCAGGCCCTGGCACAGGGTGCCCAGAGAAGCTGTGGCTGTCCCATCCCTGGAAGGGTCCAAGGCCAGGTTGGACGGGGCTTGGAGCAACCTGGGCTGAGTTAGGGAAGGTGTCCCTGATTAATGTCCCTTCCACCCCAACCCATCCTGTGCTCTGAGAAGGCAGCCAGTGCTGGCCCAGCCCCTGGGAGGCACAGCCAAGGCCCCGTGGCGCTGATTTCCCTGTGGCTGTGTCGGGTGAAGCCCTGAATTAAAACAAGCTGCTTGGGAAAAGGAGTAATTACATGTAAATCTCAATATAAGTTAAGTATGGGTTGGAGGTTCGGGTGTTTCTCTGCCAGTCTGACACTCTGCTCCTGCAGCACAAACATGAGCAGACACAGCCCAGCAGAGCATTCACTCTCTGCTCCACTCCAGAAGTGCCTTCTCAGACAGGGTGAAACCCAGCCAAAGACACACCAGAGCAGGATGGACTCATTACATGGACAAAGCTGCTGGGCACCAAATCCTGCTTGTCCAAACCTGCAGCAAACATGCACCAGGAGGGGAAAGCTGTGGAAGGAGTGAAAGCATGAACGTGCCTGATGGAAAACGGGAATGATTAAGAGAGTTTTCCTAGGCAGACTGAAAAGCTTGGCCTTAATACATCCCATTCAGGAGGAAAGCCCTCCCATAGCACGGCTGGGGAGCTCAGCTTGTGAGACTTCTCATTTCCCATAGATCCTAAGAAAATCTGCAGCACAGAGAGTCCTTATTCCCCAGTAACTGGGCTATGAGGTCACTGCACTTCAGGTGATTCTTCTCTCACATTAATCAGTCTTTTGTTTTATACTCACACTAAACCCCCAGTGCATGAGCCCAGCTCTCCCAAGTGCTCTGCACATTTGTCTCTGAGCCTGAACTCCTGCAGATGCCCCCAGAGTTGTGTGCAGAGGTTGCACATGATGCTCAGCATCACTGCTGAGGAACACCAGCTCCTGGGAAGCCACTCAGGAAATTTATAGGCCTTCCAGCTTTACAAGCACTTCTTCAGTTCTTTATCTCAGAATGGTTTGGTTGGAAGGGACCTTCAAGATCATCCAGTGCCACCCCTGCCCTGGGCAGGGACACCTTCCACCAGCCCAGGTTGCTCCAAGCCCCGTCCAACCTGGCCTGGGACACTCTCAGGGGTGGGGCAGCCACAGCTCCTCTATTGTTTTCAATGTCTGATAAATCAGGGAGACTTTTTTCAAGGCTATTTTTCTGTAAAACCATCCACATCTGCTTTTGGTTTGACTCTGGCACGTGAGAAGGACAGGCCATAAATCTGGGCCCAGTCCCCAGATTGCCCCATGTTTGAGGTACGTGAATCCCATGCTGGTGGCTCCGTGCTACTTGGTTCTCAGGAGATAGGAAAGGTTTGTGTCTTTCCAATAGAAATGGCAACTCCAATCTCCAGCACCTGAGCAAGCAACAGCAGCACTGGGAAACAATAGAAAATCAAACTGGAAAACCCAACTGTACTTTTACACTTGTGAAAAGCCCTGGCAGCGAAGCCAGGTCAGCACCCAGAGTTTGCTCTGCACAGTGTCGATGAGTCTCCAGCTCATCCTTTAACCCCCTTCCATTAATTTCCCTCCCTGCTGCCCCCCTGAGCTCCAGAGGAGCCTGGCAGGGACCCACCAAGCAGAACTTCCCACCCTGGTGCTGCTCCCAGGGCAGGTCCCAGCCAGGAGAGGCCGTCGATGGCCATGGCTGGGGAGCAAAGTGATTGCACAAAGGGACACTGCAAAGACATTCTCTTGTTTTCTTTTGCAAGAAGATACTTGGGATTTTAAAAAAGTAGGGAAATGCTCCTTGTCTTGATGAATCTGGGGCAATTTTTTTATTCCCATTTCCTGTTTTCCAATTGGTAAAACTCTGAAAGTTTCCCTATTCACTGAGTAAAAGATTTTCTGAAATTAAATTGCTGTAAAAACATCAAAACCATCTTTACGTATGGACACCCTGATCAGGGGGTAGATCAATAACCTATTGAACACTCTAGGGAACCCCCAGTGACTGCAGTAGTTACACAGGGACCCAAATATTTTAAGTACAGTAGTTTATTTCATTTGATTTTCTAATAATAATTTTTATGAACACACATACCCAGGGAATGAACTAGGAGTGATAAGATGAACAGATGGAACCCTAGATAAATAATTAAAAGGTTTAAAAGAAAATATATTTTCCTAACCATAAAAAAAAGTACAAGCCCAGTACTCAGGAAAAACATAGGAACGAATATATTGAATGTTTCCTGGCTGGCAGGGTTAACAAATGAATTTCTGTGTCTTAGAATCCCACAGAGTGAAGGCTCAAGGCAGAGAGTGACAGATCTGGGTGAGCCAGGGGACCCTGACCCTTCTTCTACCTCTTAAAACCATATTCTAGTCTATAGCCCTAGATGAAAAATGCTGTGTTTTTGCAGAAACACGGGGGTTAAGTGGGCAGTATTTCTTTTTAATAAACATAACTCCTTCCCAGGGGAAAAACTTGGTTGTTCTTTGGTGGGAACTGTCAGAAGTCTGAGACCAACAATAAGATGCAGCACAAAAGAATGAGACCAGAAGGGGACACTTGGGGTGGGACATCCCCAGCCTGGGGTTCCCCCAGGGCTCTGCCTCCACACCGAATTGCAGCATCACAACTGGGGTAGTTTTCTGGTGGTTTGAGTTTTGAGAGGAAATTTTTATATTTTGAGTTTTCTGGGGGAAAAACTAATTGCAACTTATCTGGCCAAAAGCAGCGATTAGTGAAGCGCAGCAGCAACACTCTGTTCCCCTGCCCTGTCCCACTGACCTGCAAATCCTCTTTTCCTTCCTCCCTCCCTGAGCAGAGGACTCTGACTGTCACTGGCCAACACTCCAGGGCAGGAATTGCACTCATTTCCTCCTGCCCCGAGGGCTCTGCTCAGCACAACTGGAAGAGGCCAAACACGGTCCTTCATTTATGAGAACCATTTCCTGCCTGTCTCAGGTGGGAGTCCCAGTTCAGAGAGCTCAGCTCCCACAGCCAAGTTCAGTTTTCCCAGTTAGAACATCCTTTGTGCACCTGCATGGTGAGACATCAGAGAAAAACACTGTGGGGAGGGGGGGAACGGGATTTAAAGTGCTGTGTCAATAGTTTGCTGCCTGTTCCCACTCTGCTCTGCCAGCAGAGCTGCTCTGAGGCAGATCTTGCAGCAGCAGTTCTGAGACAAGAAGTGGCAGGGGCTCCAGCAGCCAAGGGATAAGCGGATCCCGGGCAGGGAGAGGGCATTTCCCCACATCCAGATCTGTTGAGCACAAAAACTGCAGACGTGCCCAAACCTTCCCAATGTGCTGCAGAGTCGTGCAGCTGTCTCCTTCCTCAGCCCCTTCCAGATTCAAATGCAAATCAGATTTGATGGCCTCAGTCTGTAATTTCGTGCTGCGCAGTCCC